TGGCACCTGTGAAAGCCAACACATCTGTGCTTTGTGCTGTGCATTTCAATGTTGGAACACTAAGGCAGGCAGGCAGAGCAGCCTTCAAAGGACAAAACATTAATGGAGGAAGAGAAAGGGGAGGACAGAGAGAGAGGAGCAAAGCAATCTCAGATAGCAGGGTAAAGAGGAAGAAGGAGGACTAGAAAGGAAGAGGTTCTAGTAGGTATAAAGAAAAGAAAAAGAACAAGTATCAAGAACAAAAAGGAATAAGAGAAGGATGAGAAAATTTACCACTCTTCTCTCCCTCACCTGTCTTTCTTATCACCTCTTGATCCCCTGGTGCTTTGTCAACAAGAGAAAAAGAGGCAGGAAGATGGGTTGATACAGAAAAGGAGAGAATGAAAATGAGAGGGGAAAAAAAGACAGAAGGAAATAGGTTTGGAGAAGAGCAGCAGGCTGGGAGTGGAAGGCTTCATGATAATTGGAGTGTTTTCAACATGGGCAGATGCACGGTGAAGGGGAGAGGGAGGAATTAAAGTGGGTGCAAGGGGGCAGGCGGAGGCTAGATCACTGAGGGGTGACACAGGAGATTAGGACTGCCATGATGTAGTGATGGAAGGATAGCATGAGAAGGAGAACACTAAACAGACTTACAGGTGGGGAAGGTGAGAGGTGGAACTGAGACCTAAAGCCCGTCAGACAAGCATTTGCCTATTGAATTGGAGGAGGAGGGTACGGCTGGGGGAATGCAGCTCAGAAACAAGGAGCAGGAGTAACCAAGAAAAGCAGCTGAAACAAAACCCCTCCTGGATGATGTTAGTGAAAGATAACTCAGACAGCACAATTAATAGATTCTGAAGTTTTTCCTCCAGAAGGTTTAAATCTTGGTGACCATTTTGCCCAGCTACTTGTGTGAAAAATATCTCTTGGTGATTTCCACTTTGAGCCCAGTGCTCACTGAGATAGAGTACTTCTCTCTGAGGGTTGTCCCAGAGATAGCCTCTGCCTCTCTGCCTAAGGTCTGCCATGCCTTGAATGGTTGAAAAGCCTGCTTTATTTCTACTGTCAACTGGAGTTATACCTAACAAGGGATGGCAGCTTAGCTTGAAAGACCTAGAAGGTGAGAGTCTCCAACTGCCATGTATCAGAACAGAGCATTTTAAGATAAAATGTCTGTGTTCATAAGCAGCTGAGTTGTCCATGCAGCACAGGCATGGAAAAACCACTAGTACCAACCACCTCTGCAAGCTGTAGTAGTTAGCCCTTCTTCACTCAGAGCCTGCAGGGCAGCTTCACATCCCAGCCTTTAGAGCTTGTTCTTCATTTGCCTGCTCAATTAAAGCACCTCTTACTCTCAGAATTCTCCCTTCTATCTGTGAGCTTTATCTAGTTCCCTGTTTACCTTAACTTAGCTAATGCATAAGCTACCCAAGATTGACTACAGAACTGTCAGTAAGATGGTGGGATTTGACTGATACTTTCACTAACGCATTACAGTTTCCATCCTCTGGCATCAATTTTTATTAGCAGTAGGTGTCCCATGCCCAGGGAAGTGCTGCGTGTGCATACCAAGATAGGAGTGAGCTGTAGCTGAGTTGATTGCTTCCTTAACAACTGTCTGCTTGCAAAAGCAGTAAGCAGAGTAGACTTAACATGCAGTGCTGCTGAGATCCCAGCCATCTTTCAGCACAGGCATTACAAGCAAACGTACAGGTAACCTTGAGCAAGAAAACACTGAGAAGCAGCTCTTCCCCCTGCAGTGCTTCTAGGCTGGCAGTGGAAATGGGAATAGGTGCCCCTGGGTGCAAACTCACTTGCCTAGTGGTACTTTGCAAACAACCAACAGGGCTGGGAAGTGAATTCCCACAGTGGGTTCAGTGACTTTTCAGCAGGTGGTTAGAGCATGAGTGGCTCACCATGGAAAAGGCGTTTGTCACAGCCCCACTGGAGATGAACCCATTGCATTGTCAAAGCCTACAAGCAATTCAGATACAGCTCTCCAGCAGTGAACTACCTGGTTCTAGAGTGAAAAATCCACCATTCAAACCTAGGCCTGACTCCAAAAGTCAGAATCTGTCATTAGCACTGCCAGTAGCATCAGGGCATGTTCCTTCACCCAGAGTTACAGGACGCACAGGCAACCCTCCAAATAGGTCCTGATGGTTTGTTCACAATCAGCTTTTAAAATGTCAGTGGTGAAGTGCTAGAAACATCGGTAGTGGGTAGATTTTGTGCATCTCTGCAAGCTGCTTGTCCTCTTTTGCCTGAGCCACCTCATCCTGAGAAAGGAGGACAGAGATTTTGCTCTGAGTCAATATGTTCTTGGAGACTTAAAGCACATGTGAAGGGACTAAGTCAGCCTGTTCTTCTACACATGGAAGGCAAAGGAAGAGTGAAAGCCTCTTGGTATGTGTTTGCTGTTTGAGCCTGGCATGTTGACACCTTCCTTGGCCAGTTCAGGTTAGCTTGAATTAGGTGCCTTCCCTAGAGGCAATAATTCACAAACCTTTTGCTCTGCTTCCAGCTGCCTTCCTTGTTCACTGAGGCAGTACCTCAGCTGGTCTTTCTGGCCTCTCCATCTGGATGCCTCATCAGGTGCTTGTCATGGCCCAGTTTGAACTCTGCCTTCCCCTTCAGCCTTTCCCAAAGGCAGCGCCCACTCCAGCAGGTTCCTACCAGCATGGCAGGTGTGGCACAATCCCTCCTGCCATCTGCTCATTGAATGATTGGTATTGCCTCCTAACCCAGCCTGTACGCCCAGTCCCTTCCTCCCCATAGCAAAGCAGCTCTTTACTTCAAGTGTGGCAGTAAGGACCACCTTGCTAGCCAGCCTGCCATTGCTCTTCTCTCCAGAGGGAAACAAACTCATTGCTCTCACCTCTGGAGATCTTTTAATTTAACCCAGGTAGGCATTTGCAGGTATGTTAACCTCTCACACCTGATTCCCTTGTCTGTCAGTTTTTTGGAAGAACAAAAAGTTTGGAAATGTAAAAATATTTTAATTTGGGATCAGTTTGTTTCCAAATTGCATCTGAATATGGTACCATATGTCATTTTTCTACAAGCACTGGGCTTTAAAGGGAGTGCGTGTGTCATGACTTCAGCCAGCCATAGGCAACCTGTGATGCTGCACGGCTGCACAGTTCTGTTAGCCACAGTACACCATGGGCAGCATACATTCAAGGAAGAAGTGTGAGCTTCACTGGCTAAGGTGAAGGAACTGCAAGGCTATGGAGCTGAAATGTTAACATCCTTCTAACAAACATTGCAACTTGGGAAAACGAGACACAAAGCAAAATGGTTTTTGTGGTTTTCACTTTTTTCCCTTGGGAAATGTTGGCAAAATGGAAATTTATAAGAAAAATCATTATGCTGAAACCTGCATTTTCATCTTAAAATAGTTTGTAAGGAGAATTTATATCTAACTTTAGCTTGGAGATGCCTCATAGTATGTCTTGTGGCCTCTACTTCACTTAAAACTATGTTTAGTTTGCTGCTGCTTTTGAGAGTGCAAGATGACTCCCATCCCCTCAAACCCTCTTATGGTTTCAATTTTTTGTTTTCTCCTCTCTCTGCTCAAGGGTCCCTGTCTCCATTGAGCTCTGTAGTAGGACCTCTGTTAGTAAGCCTCCAAGACTGCTCTTTCATCCTTCAAAACTTGCCATAGGCAACTTAGTCCAGTTCAAATGTCTTCTCTATGCAGACAACTCATTCCTAAGTCTCTTGCTTCCAGACAGACCTCTTCCCTTCTACCTATCTTTTAGCAGCTTGTGTAGAAGATGAATCACATTCTCTTCCTGAGCTGTGGCATTGCCTCTGTGTTCTGCAGTAGGAAGAGCATCCTTTTTCTGTTTTATGGCTTTTCTCTTCTCTCCACACTTACACATCAATGTAACTGCCTGGAAATCAGCAGCATTTCTGTTTTGATCAAATTATTCATCCAGTCACTCAGACTCATTCATGCTGGATTAAGCACACATAAAGGAGATTCCCTGTCCGAGCTGTTTTCTGGGAGCCTGGATGGCTCCAGGTAAGCTGTGGTGCCTTCCACTCCTCTGCAGTTAAACAGGACCCTCAGCTTCTCAGACCCTTTGCCTACAGATTCTTTTCAGGCAT